AGACTCCCAGACAAGGAAGCAAAGCCTTCTGCTGCCCCCACGTGTTGCTTGCTCATTATTGTTGCCACGCACCAGTAAAGACCTGGGAACACTGTTGGGAAGCATGAAGAGGAGCCAGCACAGCCACGCAGCTCTGGAGGTCAAGGATCTTGCTTTGGAAGACTCTTCTGTTCCTTCTGTTCCTCCCTCAAGTTCAGGGTGTTCCTTATACTCAAAAATCTCAAAATCAGATTGGGCCTGTTTGGAAGTGAGATGATCTGGTGGCAGCAAAGCACAGAGGTGTCCTGGTCCCACCCAGGATGTGTGTGAGCCCTGGGAGCGATGCGAGCGATATCGGATACGGCACAGAGCATCCAGGAGTCTGGGCTCAGGCCAGAGGAGCACAGAGTGAGAGACAGCTCTTGGCAGGCTCAGCTCACATGATAAGGTCATTGGAAAGACAAGTGATGCTTTCATCAACCTGCCTCTCCCCAGAATCAGCACCAGCTCGAGCAAGGGCTCCCTCTGCTCCTGTAATATCCTGTGCTCCATGTAGTGCCAAGGACAAAAGCTTCCTCACAAAGAGGTTGAAGGTTCTTTTCCCAACCAGTATCTCAGCCCCCAACTCCCATCCTTCCTGGCCCTGTCAGGTTCCAGTTTTGGATAGCACCCCTTGGAAAGGTAATTTTCTCTCTGGATCAGTGGCACCTCTCAAGCTGAAGGGAGAGCAGGCTGTAGTTGCTGGCTCTCTGCTGCTTCCCAGCAGTTACTGTTGGGATCTTGTGGTTTTGTCCTTTGTTGGAGTAGCACATGCTGACTATTCTGGAGAGCATCAGTCCCAAAAGCTGCCTGAAGCCTGGGCTGACAGGTTGGTAGTAGCAGCCAAGCTCTCTCGTGGAACCAGTTTGTGGCTGGGGGAGGTCCCAGAGCAATGTTCCTGACCATGCCTAGCACAGCTCCTTGGAGTGGTAGGGCTGGATCTTTGCCATCCTTCCACCAAGAACCTTTCTGGCATGGCACCATGAACAGATGGGCCATGGAGCAATTCCTCAGCCCAGATTGTCCACAGGCTGCCCTGGACCCTGCCTGGAGCTCTCTGAGAACATCTGAAGGGAACAGCACTCGCTGGCAGGGCTTACGTGCTCCGGCAATTGGGGATTGCAAACACATGCTTCAGCTATGCAAGAAATCTTTGACTTGTTCTGAATGCAATTCTGCCTGGGTTTCTTCCCAGGAACATTCCTGTTCTTCACAATTTACCAGTTGCAGGAAGGGAGAAGGGGGAGGAGGGATTTTAGGAGTAAGGGAGAGGAAAGGGAACAAATCTCACGGTGCTTTCCCTCGCCAAATTTCTCCAGAAGGACAGGGTGTGGAGCATGGACTCCAGAGTCTGGGACAGTCCCAAGAAAATATGAATTACAAAATTAAAACCACTTTTAATTAGTCATTTGTTTTTATAGAAAGAAGAAGTCTGTTTTTCTGAAGTAATTCAGTGCCTGCTATCACACACACCAGGCGGCCCCTGCCAAATGGAGCTGTGTGATAGAAGGCAAGCCCAGAACGAGGGCTCTGAGCAGAGACACCTTATCTCCTCCAGGAGACAGCAGTGCCATTCAGATCTGCATTCTGCTTCCCCAGATAAAAGTGCCACTCCTGAGTCACTGCATACGTGAGGGAGTTGCAAATGTGGTCCCCGTAGGTGGGAGTAATTTGATGTCTGAGATGAATGATGAAGCTGTCCTCTATTGTCACACCTGCTCTGCTCCAGACAGGAGAGGAAGCGGGAGAGGGTGGAGGCAGGAGCTGCTTCTGCCCTGGGAGAAGCCAGAGCTGCAGGGTACCCAGCTCCTCACACCCTGGCTCCAGGTGACAAATCCCTCTTCCCAAGGAGGGACACAGTGGCTGTCACCTGGGGGGGGCTGGGATGGGGAGGGCTGTACCCAGGCTGGCCCTGAGCAGGGAAGGTGTCACACAGGCTCTGTGCTCCTTTCCAGATGTCACCACCTGAACCATCAGCTCAGAGACCCTTGCAGGGCAGTCAGGCACAGGGCTTGTGCTCCATGGCAGAGTCTGGGACCTGCTGAGCTACACAAGCTCCAAGGGGAGAAAGCCTTAAAAGAGACAAGGTGTAACCTGATGCTACCAAACATGCACTCTGAGTAACCTCCACAGCTCAATTGACTCCATTAAGTATTTACCTATAATTAATTTAATTTAGTTGAGGTTTTCTCCCCTGTGTTGGGTGTCTACTGTATCAACCTCTTAAAATTATGGCTGTGTGTATAATTCAGTCCAATGCACATGCAGTGCCCACAGAAGCTGAGTCACTCCAGGTACCAGGGAGAGGTTGATTTTGTTGTATTTGGCTCGTGCTTCTGACTTAACACAGGGGTAACTCCACTAAAATTGGTTGTGCTGCATTAGTCCAAAGCCAGAGCAGAGCCCAGCTTTTATTCATTATTTGCAGGAGAGACATCATAATTTCTATAATGCCATGTCCAGAGTATGGGTGGGGTTTGCTCCAGCTGCCTTCCCAGTCTCCCACTAGGGAACAATGAAATGAAGGTAAAAAGGAATATTCATCTTTTTCTCTTTTTGTGTGTACAATTCCAGCAGGTTCCTGTTGCCTCACAGTGCTGTGTAGGAGCCTTTCCCAGATATCTGCTGAACTGAACAGGAGTGATTGGTTGATTCTGAGGAGAGGCTCAAGAAGTTTCTCCTGAAGTTACCCTTTCCCCAAGGGTGGAGAGCAGCCTGGGACTGAGTGAGAGGTTTTATTGCACAGCTTAGAATGCAGCTGAAAGAGAAGCACAGAACAGCACAGGGAATGTGTGTCTGACACTTCTCACACTTCTGAAGTGAGCCTGAAGAAAGAGGGACAAATCCCAAGCGATGAGGAAAACTGCAGTTCTGGGTCTGAGCAAGAGCTCCCAGGAACCAGAGGGACACAGGAGAGGAGCCCTGTTCTGGATTATTTGGACATTCCCAGCCAAGACCTTCATGGGAGTTTTGATTCTTTATCACAGGGATTAACTCTGGGAAGCAGCTGGCATGGATGTGAATTCCAGCTGGTGCCCAGCACCATGGACACTCTGTGGATTGAGTGCAAATGGGCACTGCCACCCTCTGCACTGATCTCAGCCAGGGCAGGAGGATTCTTCCTGAAATTCAGGGCACTCCTGACCCTTGTGGTGGTTGAGTGCAGATAATGACTGAACCATTGAGCTCTCAGACAGACTCTGCTTGTTTGGGGCTGTGCAGCTCTCACAATCTGTCTGCTAACTACAAAAATATTCCAATTATTTGGAATGATGACATCACCCATGCAATTGACCCAGATCCAACATCAGCACTCCCACAAAACAGTTATTTCTTGTTAAACACTATCCAGGAGAGTGATCCAGCCCAGACTGAGCCCTGTCAGCAAAGCCTGGGTGATTCCCCCACATTTCCAGCATTTCCTCAGCACTTTATTTTCCAGGTTCCACAGGTTAGGCCTGAGTAACCTGGATCTGTCTGACAGAACGTGATTATTGCTTGTAGCTTTTGAACCTCAGTAGTCACAGAGCGGCTCCAAGTGGCTCAGGAAAGGCATTTTGGCACCTTCCATCTGCTCCCCATACTTGGAAAGCCCTCACCAGCACACTAAATCCATCCTCTGTCGGGCCAAAGTCATCTGCTCCTGGGATGATGTGGCCCAGGGATGGAGGGAAGGAAATCCTGCTGGGAGATGGGAGCTGGCTCAGCCACAGTCCTGCCTGGCCACTCTCCCATCCCTGCCAAAATCCCTCAGTCCCACCAAGGTGTGTGGGCAGGTGAGGGCTCTGAAGAACAGCTGTTGCTTAAAGAAGTTCTTGATGCTCGAGGAGCCTTCTTTCCCCTCAGTGTGTCACATTTACCAGCTGGTGTTGTAGCTCACCCAGGGGTAGCCAGAGCTGGAGAGGAAATGCCCTCCCCTCTTGGCACTGGGGGGATGCTCGAGGAGCCTTCTTTCCCCTCAGTGTGTCACATTTACCAACAAGGGTTGCACAGCGGGGGCAAAGGGATGGCCAGCGACTGCACTCAGCTCTAATTTCACTTAAAAGCAGCTTTGTCCATCAGCTGTAGGGCTCAGAGCAGCCGGGGGCTGAGCTGTGTGTCCTGAGCTTGCTTTTTAAACACCAGCCATGAGTCAGGCTGGCCAAGGCAAACACAGAGCGTGGAGCACGGCTGGGCAGCTCGGCAGGCACCCACGGGGGGAAACACCGACAGTGTAAAACTGACATATTGTAATGTGGCATGTTGTAATGGGGACACACTGTAATGGGGACACGCATTACATCTGTTATTGCACATTGACCATGGAATAACTGAGATGTTAGTGTGACATGGCCCCTTCTACCGGTGTGTGACGCATCCTGGGGCAGTGGCACCTGGCCCATTGTTATTGCACATTGACCATGGAATAACTGAGATGTTAGTGTGACACGGGGCTGTGCAGGTGTGTGACACGGCCTGTTGTACAGCTGAGTGACATCACCCGTCGTTCGGGTGTGTGACGAGACCCATTGAACCGGTGTGTGACGTGTCCTGGGGCAGTGGCACCTCACCCGGGGTATGCAGGTGTGTGAGGTGTCCCTGTGTACAGGTGTGTGCAGTGTGTGACGTGTCCTGGGGCAGTGGCACCTCACCCGGGGTATGCAGGTGTGTGAGGTGTCCCTGTGTTCAGGTGTGTGCAGTGTCCCCCTGTTCAGGTGTGTGATATGTTTCCCTGCTCAGGTGTGTGCATTGTCCCCGTGTTCAGGTGTGTGATATGTTTCCCTGCTCAGGTGTGCAGTGTCCCCCTGCTCAGGTGTGTGACTCGGTCCCGTCCCGGCCGGAACGGGGCCGCGGGCCCTTGTTCAGGTGTGTGATATGTTCCCCTGTTCAGGTGTGTTCGGTGTCCCCCTGCTCAGGTGTGTGGCTCGGTCCCGTCCCGGCCGAACGGGGCCGCGGGCCCTTTAAGCGAGGCTCCGCCCCCTGCCCGTCCCGACCCCGCCCGCTCATCCCCGCCCTTCTCTCGGCCCATCCCGAGCTCCCATTGGCCGGGCGCTGCTGAGGTCCCGCCTCCCGGCGCCGCCAGCCAATGGGAGGAGCGCTGGGCGAGGCCGTGGCCAGGTTGGTGCGGGGCCGATGGCGGCGGGTCCGTGAGGGGAGCGCTGGGAGGGGGTGGGAAGCGGCACGTCCTGAGGGGAGCGGGGCCCGTGGGGGCTGCGGGACACCCTGAGGGGAGCGGGGGCCCTGGGGGGAACGGGATTCCATGGAGCGCTGAGGAGAGCAGGACACTCTGAGGGGATCCGGACCCTCCTCAAGTGTGAGGGGATCGAGACCCTGTGAGGTGCCGAGGGCAGCGGGAGCTGAGGGGAGCGGGACCGCCGAGGTGCCGAGGGCAGCGGGAGCTGAGGGGCGAAGGACTCTCCCGAACTGCTGAGGGGAGCGGGGTCCCTTGAGGGCGTGGGGATCCCCTGGCGTGCTGGCGGGTCGGGCCCCCGGAGGAGCCCGCGAGCAGGAGCCGTGCCGGTGAGGGGCGAAGGACTCTCCCGAACTGCTGAGGGGAGCGGGGTCCCTTGAGGGCGTGGGGATCCCCTGGCCCCCGGAGGAGCCCCCGAGCAGGAGCCGTGCCGCGGAGCCGGGTGTCCCACGGCGGCCTCCAGCCGGGTCCTGCCTGCTGGAATCCCTCGGCACAGCCGAGCCCAGCCCGCAGCTCTGGGGGCCGCGGGAACGCCATTAAATCGTAGTGGTGTCACCTGAAGAATGCCTTGGAGGTAGATGGAGAACGTTAAGGTCAAGGATCCATAACAATGTGGGGTTTTCTTACCTATACCTCATCCTGACAACAAATTGTTTGTGGAGCTGAGGATTGAAGAAAAAAAAAAAAAAAAACCAAAAAAACCAACCCGAACTTTCAGCTGTAGGCTGAGCAATAATTAAAGTGCTCAGGCAGGTTCTAGTTGTCATGCAGCAAAATGAAGCCTTGTTATTCGGGTTGAAGTTAAGTGTACCATGAGCTGTCCTTATTGGAAAAAAAAAAAAAAGTGCTCTTCCAGGAACTTAAATGTGGATTCCTAAAGTGTAGAGAGCTAAGGACTTATAAAAAGGATACCTTTGTTCAGTTTTTAATGTCTGTTGGTAGACCTGATGTATGTTTCGACCATAATTGAAGACAGTTCACCCAAGTGACTGTGTTTCTTTTTTAATAAAATTATAGAATGTAGCATTTAAAATGTTGAGCAACATAGTTATAAGGTGGTTTGTTCACAGATAGACCAAAAAAAAACTTGGAAAAAAAATTCCTGATTGCTGCAGTTTGAGTATGTAACTTTTCTAATATTGCTGGTGGAATGACACTTCTGGATTTGCCCCTTTGTGTAGCGAGTGTTCACACCCGCCAGCTTTCTGTGCATTCTCTGAATCCTTCATGCTGAGAGCTGAACTCTGCTCTTGGGGAAGCTGAGAGCGTCGGGGTTTTGTTGCAGGTGCTGCGGGTGTGGAAGATGAGGCTGCCCGAGAGCCGGACCAGGCCCTTCCAGGCTCCTGCCGCCGTGCACAGCTTCCCGGGCAGGCAGGTGTTCGTGTTCCCCGATGGCCCCGAGGAGGAGGAGGAGTCCGAGGAGGAGCTCAACGTGATGGAGCTGCGGCCCCGGGGCAAGGAGCAGCAGCGGGGCAGCGCCCGGGCCCGGCTGGGGGACGTGGTGCTGCTGGAGAGGGAGCTCACCCAGGAGGACAGCCTCAACAAGCTGGCCCTGCAGTACGGCTGTAAGGTGAGGCTCAGCACCCCCAGGGGTGTACCTGCAGCAGCTTCAGAGGTGTCCTGTGGTCTGCTGGCCATGACAGGTGTCAGCCCTGCCTGTTGTAGGAATGGTCATTGTCTGGGTAAAACTGGAGACAGGCAGAAATAACCCCAGACAAACACAAAAAGGAGTTGTTCAGCCAACAGCCTGGGACAATGTGGTGAGCCTCACACCCTGCCTGACCTGCTTTCCTGTTTAATTTCAGTGACTCAGTGCAGGTTGTACTAAGTTATTTCAGTGAGGGCAAACATTAGGGAGCTGACTGTAGAAATGAGGGCCAGGGCTGTGCTCTCAAGGAACATTGGAGTTTTTGAAGCAAATTCAGCAGTACAAAGAGACACCACAGTTATAGGTGAGGTCTTTTGTTTATTTTTTGAAAGGTATCAGCTTACATTTTCCAAGTAAGGTCTGAGTCTAACAGCGGTGGATGTGGAGAGGTGCCAAAGTTCAGTCCCAAAGTCCAGGTGGTGTCTGTGTTTGGGTTTGGGTTGTTTGCTGTCATCCCAAAGCGTGCCCTGTTCAGGTGCCTGTGGGCAGGAGGGAGGGCATGTGCACAGTGAGATTTCTGAGCTGGAACAACTGCACAGCACGTTTTCTTTCTTCCAGAAAAGAGCAGAACTGCTGGAACGTTTAATTACCTGCTCTGAACATTAGAAGCCCCCTGTTGCTGAGCAGTTGGAGCTGTGTTTTAGAGCCCCCTTTATCTGCAAGCTGGACTGTGATTGCAGAGTTCCATGATGAAACAATTGGCCAGCAGGGATAATGATACAGCTCTGGCTCCAGTACTGCCCTGCCAGTGCAGTCTTGCTTAACCACACAGCAGCTGTATGGTGCAGCTGAGGCAAGAGGCCTTAGAGGGATTGCAGCAATTCCTCCCCTCCCAAGCCCTTAGAAACAAAAACAAAACAAGAAAGGCACCCGTGTAGGTTCTGCTGAGCCTGATGCGTGTGAAGAAGCGAGTCTGGTGGGACTTGAATAGGCCTTGATTGGCCCCAGGAGAGCCTGAGGAGGCAGAGCTGAGCTTTGGGTGTAGAGCTGTGTGCTGCTCCCAGCAGCACCTGGGCAGACTCACAGCAGTTGGGTGAACTCAGAGGAGGGAGATTCTGGAGAGTTCTTTGGTTTGTGAAGAGTCCTGCTGTGCCTCTGCACTGTCACCCAGTGCTGTGGCTGCACTGTCACCCTGCTGTGACCCCACTCCCGGAGCCTTTCAGCCCCTCTGGAGGCTGCTGGGCCTGCCAGGGGAAAAGCAAGCTGATGGAAGGGACCACAGTGTTCCCCTCCCTCAGGACAAAAACTGTCCTGCTGCCTCCCCCCATTGCAGAAAGGGCACTTCTGACTTGTTCCAGTTAAACTGAAATCCTTATTGTAGAGATTTGTCTGTTTGTCTCTTTAAAGACTGACATGACAGTGTTCATGTGTTTTATTTTATTTGCACAATTAAACAGGTCCTGAAAGGTTGCTAGGACAGCAGTGAGAACTGTAACCACAGATATGTAGGCAAATGTGTGTTAAAGTCCAGGATGAACTCCTTGAAATGAATGAGAACTTGACATTGGTTGGGAAGGGGATAGTAAGACAGAGCAACCAATAGCTCTGTGTGTGTGCCACAGATAACTTGGCAGAGATGCAAAGCACTTCAAAATTCTCATTTTTACTCTTGACCATTTATAGTCCTGGCTTGCTTTTGGCATTGTTCTTGGGCTGAGACAAGAGGAGCTCACTGCAGCCAAAAAAATGAGTACAGAAAATAAGCCCAAATGCTTGTGCAGCCCAGTCTCTCGCATGCTTCCCATCAGCTTTGTTTGTTGTTTCTGTGTGAGTGCTGCTCCACTTTCTGTTTCTAGAGTCTTAGCACCACACTGCAGTGTTTGATTGCAGACACCATGGGGGATATTTACTGTCCCAGTAATTTGTTTTCATTGGAACAAATCCAGAAACTGAAGCAGCACCTCAGCTAGGAGGCTCTGGGTGAGATTGTTGTTTCATAACTAAGAAATTTTGCAGGGTTTAAGTCCAGAGCTGACCCTGGGGCTGGCTGTGAGGAGCCCAAAACAGTGACTGAGGATTCCTTTGCCTCAGGGTCCCCAGATCAGGTTCTGGATTAAATGTGCCATTTTCAGAGCTCTCAAGCTTTGCAGAGTAAACGTGAAATTCAGGCCTCCATCTCCTCTTGTCTCACCTCTGAGCAGAGTGCTTGGGAAGTAAAGTGGGTTTTTTGTTTTAGCTCCTCAGTTTCCTTGGCAGCCTGAAGCGTGTGTGCAGTGAGTGCAGGTCATGTGATTTGTGAAGAGCAGAGCACAGTCCCTGTGCTGTGTCTGCTTGCTGTGATGGATGAGAGGTGCTTTACCTGTTTGTGGTGCCTTTCTCTTTGCTTTGGCTCTTGCTGTTTTGTTTTGTGCCCTCCAGCCTTTTCCTCAAGGTTCTTTCACATCTCCTTGGCTGCAGCAGAGATCTCCTGGCACACACTGCCACCCTGTTCCTTTCCTTTGACAGAGGGCTTAGTGCAGCTGAGAAGTTGCTGTGCCTGCTGGGTGGCTGTGAGCAGCCACTGGATTAAGCATCTTTAATTTAATGTTAAATGAGGATGCTGCCTTGCCTTGTCTTTGCGTTGGCACTGCCTGTCCCTGTGCCTGATGCTGCAAGTGTGGCTGCTTCTCCCTTGCTCTTCCTGCTGCTGGCTGGGGACACAGCTCAGAGAGGAGCCCACACAGGAGCCACCAAAGGAGCACAGAGGTGATCGTCCTTCAGCAGGACATGCTCAGGGGGATTGGGCTGGATGAGCTGCTGTCCTGCAGAGGAGAGGTGTCCCTTGAGCAGAGGATGTGCCTGTTTGGGAGATGCTCACCTGCTCTCCAGGCTGTGCCCTTGCTTTCAGAACTGGTGTGCTCCCAAAATGGAGCTCTCATCACTCTGGAATCATTTCCTCAGCAGGAGATGCTCACACTGGTGTGCTGTCACCTGAAGCACTCGTGTGTAAAGTATGAAAATAGTTTTTAAAAGGATCTGTTGGTTAAAAAGATTCTTCTTGCCTTAACTTAAAGAAGGGCAAAGAAGGCAAGGGGAAGGAAAAGCAGTATGGAGCAAAATACAGCAGGTACAAGAGGTGGAGGTTGTAGACTGGTTTAACAAGGGACTGACTCTGTCCTGCAGGGCCTGGAGCACCCCTGGAGCTGCTGGGAAATCTCTCAGAACATCAAACCTCTTGCATCCAGGGCCTGATGGCTCCTGGCACACTGGTTTTGTGGCTGCTTCCTGCCTCACTCCTGGGCTGTCCTGCCCTCACTGTTTGTGTCCTTTCTGGATTCCTTAGGTTGCAGATATCAAGCGCGTCAACAACTTCATCCGGGAGCAGGACCTGTACGCGCTGAAGTCCATCAAGATCCCGGTGCGGCCGCACGGGCTGCTCACCGAGAGCGCCGGGGCCCTGCGGCCGCCGGGGCCCGCCCAGCCCGGCCCGACGCGCGCGGCGCCGCCGGAGCCCGACCCCGGTGCCGCGGGCTCTGCTGCCGGCCGGCGTCTCAGTGAGTACTTCAGGGGCATCGACCAGAGCATCCAGGACGCCGTGCAGGTGGAGGTGCAGCTGAGCGCGGAGTACGGCGGGGAGGGGCTGGAGCGGCCGCCGCCCGAGGCGGGGAAGCGGGACGCTGGGAACGGTGCGGACTGCGGGATCCAGTGGTGGAACGCCGTGTTCATTATGCTCCTGATAGGAATCGTCCTGCCCGTGTTTTATATCATCTATTTTAAAACACAAGGCCTGGTGGCCCACAGCTCTAACGTGACAAACTCAAATGTTTCAACAGCTGGATAGGAAGGGGAATTACCAGCAGGCTCAGTCGTAGGAAAAAAAAATCCTAAGGTGAAAGGGCAGCCCACTCCAGCCTCTCCAGCAGTGATGCCCGTATGCTTGTGACTGACTCAAGTGCACCCAAGGGGATAAGACAATACAGATTATTTTTATTTTTATAA